CGCCGCGAGGAGGAGGTAGGAGGCAGGAGGGAAGTGGGCGGGAGGACGCGGCGACCAGAGTGCTCTATTCAAAACGAGTACCCAACCAAGGGAGGGTTGGGAAAAACATACAAAAGCACAGGGTTTCGCAACACTGTGCTGCTAAAAAAACTTACGCGCGAGCTCTTGCGAATATTTTTACTAAAAAACATGTTCACAAAATGTTACCAAACGGGCTTCGCGCGCGCGCATGTCGAAATCTGTCGAACGCCCTTGCGCGTGTGCCGTCGCGATAACCCTCTGCAAAAAACGAGACGAAGTGCAGGCGTGCGCGTCGTCGCGCGCATACAGTATGCCGAGGTCCTTCAAAACCCATCGGTTTCGGAAGGATTTCAACATCGTGTCTCAGAAAACATACAAAAAACCAAAGGTTTCGCAACACGCATGTTCAACAAAAGCGTGCGCGCGCGCTCTTGCGTCGTCGTCGTCGTCGTCGTCGTCGTCGTCGCCGTCCTCCCTCCTCCCGCGTCGTCGTCGTCGTCGTCGCCTACGTCGTCCTCTGTCTTTCCTCGTGTTCGTCGTCGTCGTCCTCTTTGGCGACGTGGTCGTTTCCGTCGTCGTTGTCGCCGTGGTCGTCCTTCCTCCTCCTCCCTCCGTCGTCTCCCTCGTCGTCGTCGTCGTCGTCGTCCGTCGTCGGCGTCTCGTCGTCGTCTCGTCGTCGTCTCTCTTCTCGCGCCGTCGTCGTCGCCGTCCTCGTCGTTGTCGTCGTCGTCGTCTTCCCTCCTCCCTCGTCGTTGTCGTCGTCGGCGTCGCCGTCCTTCCTCCTTCTTCGTCGTTCGCGTCGTCGCCGTCCTTCCTCCGCCCTCGTCGTTGTCATCGTTGTCGTCGTTGTAGCCGTCGTCGTCCTCCCTCCTCCCTCGTCGTCGTCTTCGTTGGCGACGTCGTCGTCGTCGTCGTCGTCGGCGTCGTCGTCGTCTTCGTCGTCGTCGACGTCGGCGTCGTCGTCGTCGTCGCCGCCGTCGTCGTCGTCGTCGTCGTCGTCGTCGTCGTCGTCAGCGTCGTTGACGTCGTCGTCGTCGTCGTCGTTGTCGTCGTTGTCGTCGTCGTCGGCGTCGTCATCGTCGTGGGTTTTGCAAACCAAGTTGCGGGTGGGTGGGTGGGATGTTTGCAAGAGCGCGGGATGTGTCAACTCGTTTGTTAAAATCAAGTGGCCCCATGGGGAGCTCCACCGAAGGCCCCAGTGCCACCATCCACATGCGCCCCCCCACTCAAACCAGCGTTTCGTGGCCCCATAGGGAGCTCCACCGAAGGCCCCAGTGCCACCGTCCACATGCGTCCCCTCCCCACTCAGTACAGCGCTTCGTGGCCCCATAGGGAGCTCCACCGAAGGCACCAATGCCACCGTCCACATGCGTCCCCCCCACTCAATACAGCGTTTCGTGGCCCCACAGGGAGCTCCACCGAAGGCCCCAGTGCCACCGTCCACATGCGTCCCCCCACTCAGTACAGCGCTTCGTGGCCCCATAGGGAGCTCCACCGAAGGCCCCAGTGCCACCGTCCACATGCCACCGTCCACATGCGTCCCCCCCACTCAGTACAGCGCTTCGTGGCCCCATAGGGAGTTCCACCGAAGCCTCCAGTGGGACCGTCCGCATGCGTCCCGGAAGCCCAATTTGGCATTTTCACCCACCCAGTACAGCGTTTCGTGGCCCCATAGGGAGCTCCACCGAAGGCCCCAGTGCCACCGTCCGCACGCGTCCCGCACACCCAATGTGGCATTTTCACCTACCCAGTGCAGCGTTTCGTGGCCCCACAGGGAGCTCCACCGAAGGCCCCAGTGGGACGTCCGCAAGCGTCCCGAAACACCCATTGCATTTTCACCCACCCAGTCCAGAATTTCGTGGCCCCGTAGGGAACTCCACCGAAGGCCCCAGTGCCACCGTTTCGTGGCCCCTTAGTGAGCTCCACCGAAGCCCACATTAGGACCGTCCGCATGCGCCCCGGAAGCCCAATTTGGCATTTTCACCCACCCAGTACAGCGTTTCGTGGCCCCATAGGGAGTTCCACCGAAGGCCCCAGTGGGACCGTCCGCATGCGTCCCGGAAACCTTACTTGACACACCACTCACCCAGAACAGCGTTCCCCCCCACCCAGTGCAGCGCTTCGTGGCCCCATAGGGAGTTTCACCGAAGAAGATTTTCATAATTGCGGTACCCACAACTGCATATGGTTGGGTCCTTCGCCAAGTTTTTTTTGTTTGTTTTTCTCTCTCTCTCTCTGTCTTCCTCGTCCTCCTCCTCGTCCTCCTCCTCGTCCTATTCCTCCTCGTCCTCCTCATCCTCGTCCTCCTCCTCCTCGTCCTCCTCTTCCTCCTCCTCCCCCCTCTCTCCCTCTTCCCCTCTCCGTCTCTTTGACTCTCTGTCTCTGTCTCTCTCTCTCTCTCTCTCTTCGTCGTCCTCCTCCCCCACCTCCTCGTCCTCCTCCTCCTCCGTTCCCTTACTCCCCCAGAGGCACCCTGGAACGAGCCCGCAGCCGAGTGCGATGAGAGCGAGCCCGGCCCAAGTCGGCCTATGGCCCAGCTCGGCCGGCCGAGCCGGGCCGAGTTCGGCGCGCTGGCCTTGCGTCGAGCGTGTCCCCCCACGAGGAGCAGGAGGAGGAGGAGGAGGAGGATTCTGGACGAAATGCAAAAAATACTCCGAACATGCCCCTAAGATATGCAGAAAAGAAATGAGACATCGTCCCCAGACGATTTTGAACTATCTTTGAAGATCACTCCTGTAGAGGGAGAGGACCGACTTCACGCTAGCCGGGCCCGGCTGGCCGAGCCCGACTTACCGCCACGCTGCTGCGAGACCGCCAGCCGAGAGTTCGGCCCGGCCGAGTCCAGCTGCGGCCGAACTCGACTGCGGCCGAGTTCGACCCTTGCCGGGTTCAGCCTGGCCTGGTCGAGGTCGGCCTGGCCATGCGTGGCTGGCCGAGTTCAGGCTGGCCGAGTCGCGCAGCATCCGCAGGAGGTAGGAAGAGGTGAGGAGGAGGGAAGATGCAGGATGAGCAGGGAGGAAGACACTGGAAGAAGAAAAAACGACAGAAACATAAGAGAGAACGCGTTTCACGGGCGCTTGTCTTGGGAACATTCGGCGGCGCGTTTCAAACCGGGGGGGGCCCCCCCCAACACTCGGCGCCGTCGATCAACACCAGGGGGACTCCCCTCCCCCCCAACCCCCCCCATCCCGAACCCACCCCCTCCCTCGGCGCCGGCGCTGGCGCCGGCGCTGGCGGCCGCCAGCAGCGCCCACGGCGGGGACGCAGCGACGATGACCAGAGGAAGCTCAAGGGGGGGGGTTCAAACACCTCCCACCCACCCCCCCTCCTGGCGCCAGGGAGGGGAGGGTCAAACCCCCACCCCCCACCCCTCGCGCCGGCGCCGGCGCGGGCGGCCAGCATCCCGGCGCTGGCGCCAGCGACGGCGGGGACGCAGCGACGATTACCACCACTACCACCACCACCACCACCACCACTACCACCACCACCACCGCCTCAACCCACCACCACCACCAACAACAACAGCACCACACAACCACCACCACCACAGCCACCACCACCACCACCACCACCACCACAACTCACCATCACCACCACCACCGCCACAAAAAAAACCCACCACTACAACCACCACCACAATCTACCACACCACCGCCACCACCGCCACAACCACTACCAGCAGCACAACCCACCGCCACCACCACAAACCAACACACCACCACCACCACCACCGCCACCACCACCACCACCACAACAAACGTCCACAACCACCGCCACCACCACAACCCACCACCACCACCACCACAAACGACCACCACACCACCACAACCACCACCACCACAACTCACCATCACCACCACCACCACAACCACCACAAAAAAAACCACCACCACAGCCTACCACACCACCACCACCACCGCCACAACCACCACCACCACCAGCAGCACAACGCACCACCACCACCACCACCACAAACCACCACACCACCACCACCGCCACCACCACCACCACCAGCGCCACCTCCACAAACCACCGCCACACACACCGCCCCACCAACCACCACCTACAAAAACCACCACACACCCACCAACCACCGACCACCACCACCACCACGGCCCCACCCCACCACCACAAAAAAACACCACCACCAACCACCACCAAACCAACACCAACCACCACCACCACCACCACCCACCGCACAACCTCACCACCGCAAACAAACACAACCCACACCACCACAACCACCACTTCCGTACCACCACCACCACCACCACAACCCACCACCACCACCACACCACCACCACCACCACCACCACCACCATCGTTCGTCCTCGTCGCGCTCCGCGCCTACCGCCGCCGCCGCCGCAGGGGCGGCCAGCGCTCGGCCCAAAAATTGGAGAGTCGTCCCCGCCGCGTCGCTAGGGCCGGCCGAGAGCGGGAAAGAATGGGGGGGAGGGGGGTGGGGGGGTTGAACCCCCCTCCCCCCGTCACGGGAGGGGGGGGGGGGTTCGAACCCCCCCCCTTCCCATCCAGGGGGGGCGGGGTCCAGTTCCAACCCCCCCCCTCCAAGCGACCACAAAACGCGCTTTTTCAAACATAAACTTGCGGCGCTCCGCGCGGGTTTCTTGGATGTTTCTGCGTGGCAGGGGTTTGCTAAGAGTTTTACTTCTGTCGCCGTAATGTTGCTTAAGCTAAAAGCCCTAGCAAGCTTGCGGGACCGCCAGAAGCAGTACGATTGCCGCCTTGTGCCTGGCGGCTGGCGGGCTGCTCCACCCTGTCAATAGGATTGGCGACGGGTGGTGTGCGGGCGGTCTCGTTGGGTTCATCTGGACGTCCATCACCACCAGCACGACCGAGACCAGCGTGACCTGGGCGGCCGACTACGCTCCGCTCCTCTGCCCGCCGCCCGTGGCCTTGAGTATCCGCACGACGGGCCGGGGAGCACCCACGTCCTGGGCGAGGGCGCGGCGGGATCGTCGATGGAGATCCCCAGCTGGCTGCTGCTGCTGCTGCTGCTGCTGCTGGTGCTCGGCGGCGGGGAGGCTGTCTACACGCCATGGGGCGACTTCTACGTGGAGCAGGAGACCGACTACCACAGCCCGGCCTCGCTCACAGGGCGGAAGGGTTCCCCGACGGGCGTCTCTTCGGCGGTGGCGTTCAGCCGGGCCCTGGAGCCGGACCACGCGGCTGAGCTGGTCGCGAAGGGGCGCGCCGAGGCCGCCGTGATGACGGGGGGTGACGGGCCCGATCCCAGCGCGCCCGAGTCGGTGGACTGGAGGGGCGGCCGGCTGGACCATCCAGCCTACTCCCCTGGGCAGGCGCCCCGCCTCAGTGCCTCGGGCCGCCGGCTCCGAGGCAAGCAGGCCGTGTCCTTCCTCGTCGGTGACGCCGAGGGCGCGGGGGCTGCTCTCGTGCCAGCGTCGGAGCCGGGCGGCGGCACGCCCACGCCTCCGCCGGAGGCTGCCGATGGGTACGGCTGGCTGTGCGGCGATCTGGCCCGCTGGGTCGGGAGTTTTGCCTTCGGCACCGAGCTGCGCCCCAGCCAGCCACCTCGTGTCGGACTGAGTGGGGCGGGCGAGCGCGGCATCGCCGCTGGCCGCAGCGGAGGACATCACCCAGTGGAGCCCGTTGAGCTTGGCCGCATGTCGGAGTGGCGCGAGGCCAAGCTGCCGGGGGCCTCTCGGCTCCGAGGCGTCGGCGACCTGCTCGGCAAGAGGATGCTCGGCTACGAGTCACCTCGCCCGTCCGCGCTGGCTCCCTCCGCGGCCCGAGCCGAGGCGGCCGAGGTCGACGACCTCCGTGTGCGCTGGATCAACTACGACGACGCGGGGGTCAGGTACAGGGGGTGGAAGAAGGTGCTGCAGGAGGCCACTCAGGAGAGCGCCCAGACGGCTGGGCTCAGAGGGCCCCCGGTGTGCCTCCCCGTGGGTGGGAAGCTCCACAGGCACGGCAGGACGCCCAAGGTCTGGTTCGCGGAGTGGGCTCGCGGGACGGGCATCTCGCGCAAGGACCGGGCCTGGCCTGAGGTTGATTTTCTCATCGAGTGTCTCTGGCTGGTCGGCAGCGACGACCAGCTGAACGTGGACGCCGCCGCGGCCCTGGATGCGGTCGCCTGGCGTCTGCTGCAGCACGTGGAGGCCTACGCGGGGGGAGTGGACAATCCCCGCTGGAGCGCGGCCAAGCACTTCAGCGCCACCTCCTCGGCCCTGGACCTCGTCTCCAAGGGGATGCGCATGTACGCCGCGCGGCAGGCCAGGGACGAGCTGGAGCTGAGGAGTCTCCGGGCCCACGCCCGCGCGCCCCACTCGGGGGTCGCCCCGGGTGCCGACGCCGCGGCCACCGCCGCCCTCGCGGGGGGTTGCCCCCCGCAGGCTGAGGGCGACCAGGCCGGCGGAGGCAGAGCAGGAGAAGGTAGAGACAGAGGCGGCCGCGGGCGAGGCGCGCGGCCGCCGGCCACGTGATGCTGGGCGCCCAGGGCGACGACGGCCCGACCGTCGCCCGCGAACCCCGCAGGGCGCGTGCCTTCCTGCCTCTCCCTCCGTTGAGTGCCGTGGGCATCCCTGCGGCCGCCACGGGTGGGAGGCGTAGACGGCTGCTGCGAGACATCAACGCGGCCATTGAGGCACTGAGTTGGATGCATGGCGGGGATCATCGACCTGCCCCACGGCAGATGTCGGCGTCTACCGAGAAGAAGATTTTGGGCCTACAAGCTGATGTGCGGCAGCGCGTCGTGGAGGCGGCCTCCCGCTGGTGCGACGTTGACAGCGCCGTCAGCGAACGTGGAGCCTTGGCCAGGCTCTTGAAGGGGCGCTCGGGGTATGCGCCGGCGCCTTCATGCAGTGTCGGGTCCTACGAGTACTCGAAGGTATCTATGCCGAGTGACTTACACGACTCGCCGTCACTCATCTCGATGTTGCCTTCGGAGGCGAGGAAACACCTCGAGGATTTCGAGAAGCTTATGCTCCGGCCCGCGCAGGAGTCGGAATTAATTAAAAAATGCGAAGGGGTGCCGGGCTGCCACACTGACCCGGCGCTGCAGAAGGATCCACGTACCTACGGCCGCCTTGTGCGGAGGGTAGCGAGAGTTGGCATGGTGACTTTCACTCGTGACCCGGCCTGCGTGCTGGGAGTTTTCTTCGTCACGAAAAAGGCCGACAAGCTCAGGCTGATCGTCGATTGCCGGCGGGCCAACCAGCTGTTCCAGAAGCCCCCAGGCGTCGCCCTCCTGAGCGGCAAGGGGCTGTCCAGGGTGGAGATCGACGACCCCGAGGGCCTCCTGGAGGGCTTGCCCGTCCACCTCGGCGTCGGGGACGTCGCCGACTGCTTTCACAGGATGAGGTTAGCGAAGACGGCGGGGGGCGACATCCGGCGCTACTTCTGCTGGCCGCCCCTTGCGTCCAAGTACGCCGGCGTCTCCGAGGTCGACGGGGTGGCCGCGAGGCCGGACGAGAAGATCTGGCCCATGTGCGCGAGCCTTCCGATGGGCTTCTCGTGGTCGCTGCACTTCGCCCAGACCGCGAACGCCCAGCGCCTGGGCCGCCAGCCCGCGCTGCGGCAGAGCCAGGAGCTTTCGGACCGGGGGCCTTCCCTGGTCCTCGGCGGGCTTTCCGCCTCGGCAGGATCTGGCCACTACATGTATGTCGACAACGCTGGCGTGCTCGACCTTCGACGGCGACCTGGTGGGCCGCGCCCTGGCGGAGGCCCAGAGGGACTTCGACGCCGACGCGCTGCGCTTCCACGAGATGGAGGTCTTCGACCACGGCGGGCCCTCTCTGGGCTGGCATCTTGACGGCGACGCCCGAGTCGCCGGGCCCAGTGACAAGCGCTTTGCCCTGGTACGCCGTGGCGTCCGGGCGTTGCTTCGGCTGAGGAAGGTCTCTGGCTGGCAGGTCGAGGCCGTCCTCGGGCACGTCACCTTCCTGTTCCTGATGCGTCGGGAACTCCTGTCGATCTTCCACACGGTGTATCGGTTCGTTCGGGAGTCCTATATGAAGTTCCAGCGTCTGTGGGACTCGGCTCGGGAGGAGCTCAACGCTTTCCTCGGGGCGATGATCTTTGTCGAGGCCGACTGGAGCCAGCCGTGGACGCCTTGCGTCTACGCCAGCGACGCGAGTCTCTACGGCTCCGGCGTCTCCCAATCCCTATGGTCGCATCGTGACGTGGCCGAGGTCGGGCGCGTGCCTGAGCTCAGCCGCTACCGCCTGGGCGGCACCCGAGCCCGAGAGCACGCTTTCGAGGTTGAGGTGGACCCTGAGAGCGGCGACCGGGAGCGTGACTTCCTGGGCCGGCCCGCGCGGCTCGACAGGGAGGCGAGGGAGATTCTGGAGGCGGCGCGGTGGGAACACAATGAGGATTTTGCTGAGGTGCCCAGCCGCCTCTTTGCCGGCGACCGCTGGCATACTATTCTCGCTGATCGCTGGTTGCACGCCGATGACATTTTGCGCCTTGAAGCCAGGGCTGCGGTCAAGGCTGGAGCTCGCGCCCTGCACGTAGAGGCCGTGAAAAACTGTCGGGTCCTGCTGCTCGGTGATAATCTGGCCATCACGCTCTGTTTTGCTCGGGGGAGGTCGAGGGATTACAGGGTGCTTGTGCAACCAAGGCGACTCTTTAGTTTGGCCCTCGCTCGGAATGTCCGACTCTATTTCCGATGGATCCCCAGTGAGTTCAACTCAGGGGACGAGGGTAGCCGCATTTACGATGCCTTGTATGATGCTGAGAAGACCCTTGTTTCTCATCTGGGCCCCGAGCTGCCACGCACGGAGCCCAAGCCGGATGTCAGTCTGGCCGACCCTTCCCCCGCCTCGGACCTCCTCCTTAGCCATTTGGGCTCTGGATCTTTTCCCCGGACCGACCCTGTTTCCGCGCCGAGTCTCAGCCAGACCGATGCCGTGAGGGCGACGGATGGACCAGCGCCGGTGGCTGCCGTCGGCCCCCGGCCGCCCTCCGGGCGGACGTCCGCCCGCGTCGTCGGCCCCTACGCACAGTCGCTGCTGGACTGCATCCCTTGCTCGGCCGAGCTCGGAGGAACAGGCGACCCGCGTGTGCACCCCTGCCCTGGAACGGGGTCTGACCGGCCGCCTGACGACGTGCAGCCGCTCTCTGGAGCAAGGCTGGCCCGGGTTTCGCGCGGGCCCCGCTCGAGCGCGGACGACGGAGGCTTTCTTGGTGCAGGTGGCGGACGAGATCCCAGACAGGCTGGCCGGGGCGCCAGGCCCGGCCGGCCGAGACGCCCCCGCGGACGTCGAGGGAGAGGACGGCAGCGAGAGCGACGACTCCTCGGACCCCGAGGAGAGGGCGGCGACGGCGGCCCGCCAGAGGGCCCTGGGGCGGCGCGGGAAGAACCACGTGTACCCGCGCCTCAGTGCCCTGATGGGCGCAGCCCTTTCGGGCGCGCGGCCGACACCGCTGGAGGCTCGGTCCGTGACCAGGACAGCTGCTGCCCAGTGCCGCCAGCGCGTCCTCGCCTTCTTGAGCTGGGGCCCCTTCTCAGAGACGGTGGAGGATCCCGCACGTCGGGACGTCGCCCTGACCGACCTCACGAACCACGAGTTCGAGCAGGATCGCAAAAACTGGAGGGCGGAGGAGCTCCTGGCGGGCATCATCTCTCACTCGCCGCGCTACAAGAAGAACGGCTACGACAAGCCGCGGCTCACCCTGCGCGCGCTGAAGGGGTGGTGCAGGGGATCGCCATCTCGCTTGAGAAGGCCCTTGACCGTGGGCATGTGGGTGTCCTTTGCGGTGGAGATCGCGAATTCGGTTTTCCTGATGGCCGCAGTACTGGCCCTGCCCACGGTGGAGAGGTACCTGCGCCCCGGAGAGAAGCTGGGCCTGACGCTGGCTTTTTTCCGGCCGCCCGCCCACGGCGGGGTGGCCACGGGGGTCCTCCCGCTCTTCCCACGGGAGTCCAGCCTGCTGTCCAAGACCGTCGAGAGCGACGACAACATCCCCCTGGACTCGAAGCGAGTCTTCCGGGCGCTCTCTAAGCGCCCCCAAGGCTCGGAGCGCCTCCTGGACTGGAACTACCGCGAGTCCGTGAGCGTCCCCAGGCGCTTTGCCGACAACCTGAACGGGGCAGTGGTGCAATATCGGGGGCTTCACACGAGGGCCAGCGCCGACCGCGCCGAGAGCCTCAGAACCCAGAAGCAGGTGATGAAGCGCGAGAAGTGGCAGGCTGTTCGATGTGTCAGGAGGTGCGGCGAGGCTGGGCGCGTCCACCAGGCGTGGCGGGAGCTGGTCTCCGAGGGTCAGGACCATGTCTGTCTCTGCCTGAGGATGATCGAAGGGATCTTCCCACGCGGGGACGCGGCGCCCGAGCCTCCGTGCATCAGGCGCGGAGCGGAGCCCGTTTCCAGGCGTGCCAGGCGCTCTTGACGGCCCCGAGAAGGTATGTCCTCGATCTTTTCGGCGGCGGCGGCGGGCTTCGCCGAGCTGCCGCCCGCTGGGGCCTGCCCGTAGTCAGTTTGGACTTACGGAACGCCCCAGATTAAGATCTGATAGTCAAAGTGAATAT